TTCATGGAAATACACAGATTGAGTGCCATGGATTTTGTGTCAACTCGACACAAGCTAGAGGCACCCAAGAGGTGGGGAGCTCGATTGAGAAAATGTCTCTGTAAGATCAGGCTATGGGCAGGCATGTGGGGCATTTTCTTAATTAGTGATTGATGTGGGAGAGACAGCTCAGTCCATTTGTGTGTGGAGCCATCCCTGGCCGGCAGGTGGTCCTGGGTGCTGTAGGAAAGCAGGCTGAACAAGCCATGAGGAGCAAGCCAGGGAGCAGCACCTGCCCGTGGCCTGTGCATCACCTCTTGCCTCCAGGTTCTGGCCTAGTCTGAGTTCCTGCCTTGCCTTCCTTCAGTGGACTGTGACTGGGGAAATTATATATATATATATATATATATATATATATATATATATATATATATATATATACACACACACACACACACACACACACACACACACACACACACACACACACACAACACACACACATATATATATACACACATACAAACATATATATGCATATATACATACAAGCATACATATATACACATACATATGCATACATACATATATGACAAGCTGCTTTTGGTCATGGCGTTCCATCACAGTTCTAGCAACCCTGACTAAGACAGTGAGTATAGTTGAGACGATCGTAAATAAGAATAACTTCAGAAGATCCATACTGCATTACTATCAAGAATTGCTAACAGCTGGGCGTGGTGGCATGCATCAGTGGATCAGCAATGGGGACACTGAGGCAGGGTGGCTCCAGAGTTGAGGCCAGCAGGGGCTTAATGGAGAGGTTGAGCCCAGCTGGGACTACAGTAGAGAAAGAGGGGAGAGGTCCGTGTGTGTGTGTGTGTGTGTGTGTGTGTATGTGTGTGTGTATGTGTGTGTGTATGTGTGTGTGTGTATGTGTGTGTATGTGTGTGTGTGTATGTGTGTGTATGTGTGTTAGTGTATGTGTGTGTGTGTGTATGTGTGTGTGTGTGTGTGTGTGTGTGTGTGTGTGTGTGTGTGGTTTGGGGAACCATTTCCTCCTTCCCCTTGCTCCTACTGTTGCCGACCCTGCAGGCGACATCATTCTGCTTGGTTCTCTGTTGCCCGCACACCTCTGCAAGTAGCCCCTTGTAAGTGAGCCCTCCTTCAAGCACCCTCGTCTGTCCTCTGCAGGGCCCCTGCCTCCCAAGCCTTATGACTCCGGTTATTTGAAGCGAAGACCCCGGCTTGCCATCATGCTCCAGCCTGGTGGTTGATCCCACCGATGGGTGTTTCTCCAGCCAGGGATAGAACTGTCTCTGCTTCCAAACAGAAACTTTCTTCTCGCCGCTGTTTTCTTTCTCTTCACCATCTTTCCATGGTCACGAGAAAACGGCTGCTCAAAGGTTTCCTCACTGGAAACTCCATGTCGTTGCATAAAACAATTACATCCCTCCGTGATTTCTTTAATGCGAGCCTCTGAGGGTGTTTTCTCTTCTTTCTGAATTCCTGTTAGTCCTTTAATGGAACCCAAGTGTGCACTGACGGATGAGTGGATGGACCAGATGGACGAGCGCTTACAGTGGAACATTGTTCAGCCTTAAAAAGGAAGGAATGCCTACACACAAATGCTACAGCATGGGAAAGCCATTTGCAAAGGATAATACTTTAACACTTTAGTATCTAAATTAATGGGGACAGAAAATCGACTGACCGTTGCCAGGCCAGGGCTGGAAGACGCTGGGGGATAGGATGTCAAGTTTCAGCTTTGAGGAGGTTGAGCGTTCCGCAGATGGATGGTGGAGGTGGCTGCACAATGAACGTGATGCCACTGAAATTCATACTCACAGATAGTTACGGTGCTGCGGTTGGTTATGCGTGCTTCACCAGTTTCTATAGTAAGAAAGTAACGCATAGGGAAGACACAGGAGATGACAGGGAGGACAAATCCATGGGAACAAGGATGCCTGCTGGAATTCCGGGGCAGGGGAGAGCTTGGGTCCTTGCTTTTCAAGGGGAGCGCCAGGCTCAGCCAGGGAAAGGAGTAATAGCAGAGGCTTGGGATGGGGAAGGAAGAAGAGGAAATGTGTGCGGGCCTCGCAGGCTTTTGGATTCCATAGCAGCAAGCACAGATGAGTAGTAGCTATTAGTCACCTTTGGGCGTTTGCTCCAGCATCAGTCCACTCATACAGTCAGAATCTCGTACCCGAGGCATTCCATCACGCCTGTGAGTGTGCTCTGTCCAGGGGCTTTGTAGACACGGCTTAGTGGACCCTCACTCCCCCCCGTGGACACTTCCCGCTGCCCACAGGGCTCAGGCTGGACATCACTGAATGCTCCTAATGCCTTCTCATCAAAAGCTTTCCATCTGGGAAGCACCGAATGGATGGATGCACATGCAGGTGTGGTGAACCCAGCGTGATGCGGGTGTGAACCCAGTGTGATGCAGGCCTCCCTTGTGAGTCTGCCCCAAACCTACCTGCCACTCGCTAAAAGGGCTGTGCAGCTAAGCAGCCACCGCTGCAGAATTTCTTGCCCTTGCTCCGGTTTAGGGGTGTGTGTGTGTGTGTGTGTGTGTGTGTGTGTGTGTGTGTGTGTGTTTGAAGCAACCAAGATCACAAGGTAAAAGCACTCCGATAAAACTTTCATCTAAAATACCAAAGATCCAGAATATTGCCGGTGTGTTTGCCACGAGTGGAGTTCAGGCGGCTGGTGAAGAGAGAAGCGTGCAGGCAAGGTTTCTTCCTGTCCCCAATGACCCCACTCTAGCCCAACCCCTCCACCACCTGCTTCTAGTCCCCCAGTGGGCTCTGAGACTGTTGCTCCTTGACTACTGGCTGTTGAGGAAGCACCCCAGGCAGGCAGGGTAGTGTCTGATAGGAGGAATCAAGGATGTGTTCTGCTCTGGGAAGAAAACCCAGGGCTACCCAGGGCCTAAGGAGAAACTGCATCTTTGGTGTGTGAGAGAATCGAGCCCCTGGCTCAGAGAGTAAAGAGCTGGGCCCTTAGAGACCTTGGGAAACAACATTACCAGGATTGCTGTATAGTCTTTCACACCTGTGAGCTCTAAGGAAGGGCTATGCGTCATGCTCGTTTGGGGTTGAGTCTTCCTGGTCACATTGGAGTGTTTATGTCTTTGAATGGGCAAAGCTAAGGGCAATGTCCCTTGGGTATCACAGGCATTTTCCAGGAGGAGCTTCCTGATATCCAGTTTGAGATAGAGACACCGTTTCATCGAGAAGGGTCGCTAGGACAATTCTCAACAGGTGACCAGAAGACACCTAGATCTGTTTTAAAAAAAAAAACAGAAAAAAAAAAAAAAAACAAAAAACAATGATGGTTTGCAGAAAAAAGAAACTCATTTCCTGGGGTTACAATGGATGTTTCTAGGTGCTACTTAAGCAAATGATGATTTATTACTCTAACAGTGCCAGGTATGTTCAAAGTTCAAGCCACAAGTATCTGTCATTGCGGTCTAATACAAAATCATAAACATGCCTGAAACAATATGTAGTGTGTGTGTGTGTGTAACAGTGTGAGGTGTGTGTGTAACAGTGTGAGGAGTGTGTGTGTGTGTAACAGTGTGAGGTGTGTGTGTGTAACAGTGTGAGGTGTGTGTGTGTGTAACAGTGTGAGGAGTGTGTGTGTGTAACAGTATGAGATGTCTGTGTGTGTAACAGTGTGAGGTGTGTGTGTGTGTAACAGTGTGAGGAGTGTGTGTGTGTGTAACAGTGTGAGGTGTGTGTGTGTGTAACAGTATGAGGAGTGTGTGTGTGTGTAACAGTATGAGGAGTGTGTGTAACAGTATGAGATGCCTGTGTGTGTAACAGTGTGAGGTGTGTGTGTGTGTAACAGTGTGAGGTGTGTGTGTGTGTAACAGTATGAGATGTCTGTGTGTGTAACAGTGTGAGGTGTGTGTGTGTAACAGTGTGAGGTGTGTGTGTGTGTGTAACAGTGTGAGGTGTGTGTGTGTAACAGTGTGAGGTGTGTGTGTGTAACAGTATGAGATGTCTGTGTGTGTAACAATGTGAGGTGTGTGTGTGTGTAACAGTGTGAGGTGTGTGTGTGTAACAGTGTGAGGTGTGTGTGTATGTAACAGTGTGAGGTGTGTGTGTGTGTAACAGTGTGAGGTGTGTGTGTGTAACAGTATGAGGTGTGTGTGTGTAACAGTGTGAGGTGTGTGTGTGTGTAACAGTGTGAGGTGTGTGTGTGTAACAGTGTGAGGTGTGTGTGTGTGTAACAGTGTGAGGAGTGTGTGTTTGTGTAACAGTGTGAGGTGTCTGTGTGTAACAGTGTGAGGTGTCTGTGTGTGTGTAACAGTGTGAGGTGTGTGTGTGTGTGCTAGATGTGTACACATATGTGAGTGGGTGTATGTGTCTATTGGGCACGTATGGAGACAGAAGGTTGATATATCTTTCCTCTATTGTTATGCGCCTTTCTTTTCTTTGAGGTAAGGTCTGTCATTGAACCTGGAACACACTGTTTTGGCTAGGCTTGTTGTCCAGTGAGTCCCTAGGATCTACCTGTTTGTACTCCCCAGTGTTGGGCCTTCTCTCTCTCTCTCTCTCTCTCTCTCTCTCTCTCACACACACACACACACACACACACACACGCTAGAAACCCAAGATCAGGTCCTCACGCTTGCATGACAATCACTTTACCCCCTGAGCCACCTACCCAGCACCATCAGAAGGGTTCACTGTCATTTCATTTTGTTTGTGTGATTCCCAAGCAGATGACAACTGTAACTGTTTGTGTGACAGCAGTATGCTGCCCTGTGGTGCTTAATGCCATGAATGCTTGTATCGAAACATGACTGTTTAAACTCATATGAAAAAGAACACTTTGGAGTCCTCAGTAACTTTTGATCACACAGGAGGGCTACTGTGGCCAGTAAGTTCAAGAATCATTGATAGGGGGGAATGTATATTAGATAAGATCAAATAGCGACAACATACAGGCCTGTAAGAAAGATCTAGAAACAGACCTTAACCGTTGGATTATTTTTCTGTTTTGTTTTGCAGGCAAAACTGCATAGAAAATCTAATGGATGAAGATGAGAAGGACAGAGCGAAGAGGTAAATGGGAGCCATGCCCCTGCCTCACAGTGCTTGCCTTCAATTACCCTCTATTTAACAAAGCGAGACAGGGAGCTGTAGGGTGCGCCTACAAACCCTCTCCTAACACATTTAAGAGTGGCTCTAAAACTTTGTGGCTCACCAGAGAAGTTATCCATTGTGTGGGACTTTCCAAGTCTGTGTTTTCAGCACGCTCGTGTGTTACCCTGTCGAGGTTTCCGCTCAGAGGCCTCCCCTTACTGCTTCCTTAGGACAGATACAGTTTGGCAAGGCAGGCTAATAGGAGCCAGGCCTGCCTGGGTTCAAGCATTGGTGGCGGTGTTGGGGAATTGCCTGATTTGGGGTAGTAATAGCATCATTATTACTCCATCGTTTCTCTATCCATACTCACTTGTTACTGAGTGGGCAGTAACCAACCAGCACTACGCTGAGCTGTCCTTATATTAGCTAGATTTCTTCATCAATGAAGTAGGGGCATCAAGACTCATTGTACCATGGTTGAGCAGTTGGGATTTACTAGCCGGATGTTAAAGCAACCTATAGCCCTACATGTGTTTATTCCCTTATGAGCATTCCTTGAATACCTATTGCGTTCAAAGTAGTCATGAAGTTGATTCTGAAAATCAAGAATGCTCAAACGTCATCCATCACTGTGCTAAACCCAATACGCTAGGAAAGCAAGGGTGAGTAAGTAGGTTCAGTGTCCCCGGGTTTGCACAAGTTGATGAGAGATGAGAGCTCACTGAAGACCGTTAGGGTGCGGAGGGAAGGACAGCAGTAGAAACAGGACTAGCGTGAAAGGCTAGTCAGGGGAACTTCATTCCAGAGCCACAGACCTGCCTCCCCCCTCCAATCTCATCCTGCCCCCTTCTACAGTACAGGGCAGGTACTCTGCCCTCTGCCGTAGGCCGCTCATGGGCCCTTAAAGGAGACACACCTACTTCCCTCCACAGAACTTCATGACTGACTTGCAAAACGTTGAGCCCCAAGAGACCACCCTCTATTGTAGCTCTAGAGCAACTGTCCCCTCAGGAGAAAGCCATGAGAGACACAAGTCTACAACTAGTCTCAAAGTTGCTCGGTATGAATCTACAAGACTGAGGGAGTCTGCGCTGTTTTAACTTCCCCTAGTATTTCTGTTAACAAAAGGGCAGTGTGTTGACCAGACGCTTAGGTGAACAAGAGTGAGGTATGGAGCCAGGAGGAGGAGGCAGGCCAGCCATCTCTTTGGATCTTATTTTCCTTGTTTGGGGTAGTTGGTACTAAGGGAAAAACCTAAGGCCTCGCCCATGTGAGTTACTTTACTCTTACCTCCACTTTCCCATGTGCACAAACATCTCTGCACAAACAGTCTAGCAATGACACCTGCAAGTCTTGAGCTTACTGTGAAACAGGTTTGGGGCCCTTTGCTTGGTCCTGGGCATTCACGCCTCTTCCAGAAGTGTTTTGCAACCTATAGGTCAAAACCTGCAAGGTTACAAAGTCCCTTTGTGTCCTTCCAAACAAGTAAATGAATGAACTTGACTACAGAGGCCAAGCATATTCTTGCCTTCTCTCGTGGAAGGGCTGGCACCTAACTCTTCCTCTGGAGTGTTTGGCCTTTTGGGTTTCTGCCAGGGAAGCTAGACAGTGCCAGGGACAGAACACCTCCATGATCCCAAGGCCCTGTTTTCTTTCCTGAAAAACAATATCTGGCCTGTTCTACTCAGGGTATTTTGAGAACATATACCAAGTGACACTTAGGTATTAATCACCATATGTGTCTGAAAATTCATAGCACTTTATAATAACACGTTGACAGAATAGCAGTATGAACAGTTTATACAGAGAACAGTGGCAGCCAGCACTCACTGAGAGTTTCCTACACATATCCACTGAGTACTGAGCTACGTACTTCTGTGTGCTAACCCAAATCACCAATTCAACATCCTTTTGATTTGTGTATTGTTTTTATTCTAAACTAAGGCTTATGAAAAATCGAGGAAGTGGCAGGTAGGTCTTTAAATGCAGGCTTCCTCAACCTTGGACTGTGCTCTAACCGCTTAGGACATGACAGAGTCTTTTCCCACACAACCCCACAGGCCTCAGCCAGGACATTCGATGTACGTCCACTGGAGTTCTACTTTTCCCATTAATGGTCCCTTCTAACCACACGTGGTCTCAGCCCAGGCTCCCCAATCACATCTGCTTTGGGCTAAGAACATATCTCCATTAGTCAGGTATCCATTGCTCTAAGAGAATAAAGAAGAAAAGGTTTCCTTCAGTCAGAGTTCTGGTGGTTAAAGGGAAGGGCTCTGGTGAGGAAATTGTAGGAGATGGTATCGCTATAGGAGCCCAGAAGTAGAAGGTAAAGGATGGGGAGGGGAGGATGAGGGGAGGGAGAACCATGGCATCACAGGTCAGGGATCCAGAGTAGAGAGAGGCCAGTTTCTCTGCTTCCCATTGGATGAACATCTTTAGGCTTTCACCATCTCTTCACACCGTCCCATTGAGGACATGGCAGTGCCCTCACTCAAATGTCCCTTTATGCAGGCCTCCTTCTGCAAGCTGATGGCCATGACTTCCTTCACCTCCAGATGCTCAGAGGGACTCGGAGCAATCGTTAACACCCCATCCCTTGGCCAAGATGCAGCCCTTCCTAGCGCTGTGACCTTAGACTGCTTCGCATACTTTTCAAAACTTCCGGTTTTTACGGTAGCAATGTGGAAAGCCATTCCTTTAGCAACCCTGGACACCCTAAAAGGATTCCTTCTCACTCACAAGATATTCTTGTGATATTAGGAATGTTTATTAGCTGGAGGTCGTGGTCATGATCCTCATTGTCTCCCCCCAAAAACTTACTTTATGTGAGGCATGGCTTTCAGAGCTTTGGGAATGCGTGCTGCCTTGAGACTGATGACTCACATATTCTAAAAAGGATTTGGTTCTTCACTCTTCCGTGAATTTCCATGTAAACCCGGGGTGGGGGGGTGTTAATTGAGCTCCTGTCACATGTTCAGGACCATCTATTGTTTTCCTCGGAAGACTTAAAACGTGATCATTGAATCCAAGAGGTCAAAAGAGAGACACTGTGGTTGAGAGATGTGAGCTCCTTGGCAAATGAAGCTCCCGGTTTGCCATTTTGTATAGGGGTATGACTGCAATTCACATGAATTGCTCTGTGTGTGTGTGTGTGTGTGTGTGTGTGTGTGTGTGTGTGTGACTCATAGGACTCAATCACACATAGCTGGGTTTGGTTCTTCTCTTTTTTGTGTATTTTTTGGACGGACCCTTAACCTCGGGTTCACTACTGTACAATAGGGCTGAAAACAGTCACAGGCATTCAGTGTGTGTAAGCGTTTGGCTCAGCTCCGCACCCATGGTGCCCATGAGACAGTTAAGGCATACGGGTCCCTTGCTGTGCCTGGGCCTCCTCTCCCATTCTAGTGGGATCCCCATAAAGTGAGCTGATTGTTTTCCTACATTTCAGTAGAGCAGACTTACGACCTGGAATTACACATCCCGTCAGTGGCCACGGGGATCAAATCTCAAGATCCCTGACCTCCTGTCACACTCCATTCACTTTGCTTTGTCCTCAAGGAGCAGGGACAGTAAGTAGGTGCTGGCAGTTGCTCTGCTCAAAGAGCACAAGTGTGTACAGGTTTTTCTGCATCGTGGGATTGTTTGCTTGACCCGTTGCTAACGAACACTTGACGTTTGCTTCATCTTTGACCCAGTATTGAAGAAATATATGCTCTCCTCTTTCCAGTTGGCTGTGAAGTTGTTTCCATAACCCCAGGCATTTAGTTGAGGGGAGGGGGAGGGATTAAGATTCAAGGGAAATCAAGAGTGTCAGGCAAGTTTAGCTGGTATTTGGGGTTCTCAATAGAGGAATTGCTGGATCTGAAATATGAGCCCAACTCTTGTTTATTCTTTGACCCTAATCCTTGGTCTCGGTGTGTTTTGGGCACAAGGGAGGCATTCAACCCGGATAAGCAAGACTTGTATGCCCACCACTGTACTGCGGTAGCCGTGTGTGAGGGAGAGCTTCAGCTAAGTCCGGGTGTATCACTTACTCAGTCCCCAGGTGGAGGAAAAGGATGTGGACCAATGCCTGGGCCCATGCCATCTGCATACAGTCAGCAAGTGACTGTCACAGAAAAGACAGGATAATGCCTTCACAGGGCACGTTTGGGGCTGGGGTGGGGTGGGGGGCAATCATGGAAACCGTCATAAAGGAGAAACCAGAGCCGGCAGTCTGCTGGGCAAAGGCAAGAGAGTGAATGATCTCTGTGTGAGCTCTGCCATCTCAGGGTAACTGCTTTTTCACAGACTGATCTTGTTTCATTGGCATGAGTTCTCTGGCTTTGTAACAAGTAACGCAGATCTGAATGGAAGGGCTCATAGGCAAAGGTTGCGGCCAACACAGAAGGCCATGAATGCTTGCAGAGTGCCACACCTACAGGCACCACGCCCTGGGCTCCGTGGTATTGCCCCACTTGGATATTGGATGCTAATTTCTCTGTGATTTCCCATCCCGGTCTTTGGACTTGGTTTTACGTATATCATCACAAGCTCCATCGTTCCATCATCCCCTTTTGAGGCTTCCTCTGTTTGTGTGGATGGTGATTAAGGCAGCAGCAGGCGTGGCAAGGACAGGGGCGGGTAACAGGCCATGGGATTCATTTCTGTTACCCTGGAATTTCCAGATGAGTGATTCTGTTCTCAAAACAAAGGAAAAGTAGAACTGTGCTTGCAGGCAGAATGCTAATTCTTCCCATGGCCCAGTAAACAGCAGAATGGAATGGAAAAGGGGGCCCCCTCCTCTGAGGCTTTTGAGCTCTTACCTTGCTGGGTTCTGGGTTTTTTTTTTTTTTTTTTTTTTTTTTTTTTTTGACTAAATAGAACTGTCATCAGAAACCCATGCCTGGAAGGTTTGGGAGCCTGAGGTTGTATTGGCTCAGAGAAACCCAGAACCTCTCTGGGGCATCTGAGGTAAAGGATAATTTCTTTAAAAGCAA